AACAACTCTTTGGAGAAGTGTTGTGTAACATCCCCCTCTGGCACATATTACAATATTGTCCGCTTTGGGTTCCCGTCACGAAAACTTCCCAGGGGGGGTCACCCATCCCTGGATTGCTCTCGCCCGACCATGCTTAACTGTAGAGTTCTTATGGGATCTTCTCACCTGATCCTGTATCGTCTTGAAAGGAGAACAAAACATTTCTGTATAAGGGTGTGGATACCTTCCTTGTCACAACGCATTTTAAAGTTGTGAGGGCAACAAATCCCATAAGAACTCTACAGTTAAGCGTGCTCGGGCGAGAGCAATCCAGGAATGGGTGACCCCGCGGTAAGTTTTCGTGCCGGGAGCCCAAAGTGGACAATATTGTGATACGTGCCAGAGGTGAATGTTACAAATAATATCAGATCTGGGGCACGAGTCGATGTGTTTGACGGGGACGTCGAACCCTATAATGGCGTTGGGGTGCAAACCCACTCCCACATTGGTAAAATAAGAAACTAGATGCCTGCATATAAGGCAATGGGTAATCCCTTCTATCACCAATTGGTTTTAGAAAATGGAACCCCATTGTTCTTCTATGTTGATCATGGTTGGGCTAGTAGCGATCCTAACAAGTGGTATCAAAGCTACAGTCGTAGCCCGAAAGATGTGGTCGGCGTAGGTGGTGCAATCCCCAAAAATTCCCGATCCAACGAAGTTGATCCGGATGCCTTGTATCGAAATTCTTCCTGATGGCCCAGGTCAGGTGAGCGTGTCCCGAGAGTATCGACGATATGAAAAAGGATTGGATCTGATGAGCAATCGTTGAGGGGAGGCCAAGAGTGGAACTTAGGTTTGAGCGGAGGATTGTTGGGGTGCAAACCCAATCCCACATTGGTAAAATAAGAAACTAGATGCTTGCATATAAGTCAATGGGTAATACCTTCTATTACCAATTGGTTTTAGAAAATGGAACCCCATTGTTCTTCTATATTGATCATGGTTGGGCTAGTAGTGATCCTAACAAATAGGGGGGGGGGGATGAAGGTGGGTTGCACCTGATCGTACATCGGCTTGGAAGGAGAACGAAACATTTCATTATAAAGGGTGTGGATACCTTCCTTGTCACAACACATTTTAAAGTCATGAGGGCAGCAGATACCATAAGAACTCTGCAGTTAAGCGTGCCCGGGCAAGAGCAATCCAGGGATGGGTGACCTCCTAGGAAGTTTTCGTGCCGGGAGCCCAAAGCGGACAATATTGTGATACATGCCAGATGGGATGTTACATGTTGGTTGCATTAGAGCTTGTAGATCCAAACTTTGTTCACCTTGATCTTTCTTCTAGAGGTATAAAGCTTAAATCTTGATGATGTATTTGGTAGATCTAGCTAGTTTTAGGTGTTATAAGCTTTTGGTCACTTTAGTACATAAATTTTAGATCTTGAAAGTTTGTGACCTTGTTATGGATAAAGTTGGAAACTTTATCCATCTAAACATCATATTGATTCATATCTAAAGGTTGGAGACTTGGACTTAATGGATTAAGTTGAAAAAGATGCACTTTTGGTCCCTTTGAGACTTAAAGACTAGATCTTGGTTGTTTAGACCATTCTAATGGATAAAGTTGGAAACTTTATCCATTATGGAGTTATTAGGAACCATAAAAATGTAATCTTGGACATTAGTTTCTTTCCATGCATGATCTAGGTTGTCTTAATAGGTCAAGAAGGTAGGGTTTTGATCTTAAGGTCTTAATAGCCATGCAAAACCATAAAGTTGGAAACTTTATGGTTAAGAACACCTTTAAGGGTCTAGATCTGGATTTTGGATGAAAAGGATTAAGCACTTAATGGGTTGATTAGGTGGCAACCACGTACGTTGGGTGTACCAAAGGGTACGCCACGCGTAAGTGGCCATCCCTTCGATGTTTGGTCAAGCAGGCAGTACGCCCCGCATACGTGTTGAGTACACCAAACGTACTCACCGAGTTGACCTGGTTGACTCGGTTGGCTTTGACCTTGATTCTGACCAAGGTTTGACTTAGGGGTATTTTTGGGTATTTTAACCTATATTCTGAGATTTGGTTATTGTATTTATAAAGGTGACTGGTAGAGTTGATTTCGAAGCAGCGTGCTATTTCAGTTTTCTCATCGGTTTGTGACATGAGTTTCCTCACTGTATCTATGGGCCGAAGGCACTAATGCTGACCCATTATTCGGTTATGTAGAATGCTAACTGCTATGTGATATATATTTGTTTATGTGATCGGGTTGAAATACACCCTAGGCCGAGGCCCACTGTTGTACGATCGGGTTGAAATACACCTAGGGCAGGGCCTATTATCATAGTATCAGGTTGAAATACACCCTAGGTCGAGCCCGACTATCATATTATCGGGCTGAAATACACCCCAGGGTGGGGCCCACTATCATATTATCAGGCAGTAATACACCCCAGGGCGGGGCCTACTATTGTATGCCGGGTTGAAATATACCACAGGGTGGGGCCCACTATGGCATGTTTGGGTTGGAATATACCCCAAGACGGGGCCCATATTTGTATGTTTGGTATGTGGTACTTTGGGAACTCACCAAGCTTCGTGCTTACAATTTATGTTTATGGTTTCAAGTACTTTCGGTACTAAGGGGAAGAGCCGGCGTGATGACACAACATCCTCTCCTCATGATTTCCATACTTTTTGGATATTATTACTCTGATGATTTTGATATTGCATATTGTGGATGTTTTGAAACAACTTGATGTTTGAAACTATTGATTTTAAAATGAAAAATTTTATCATTGTTTTTGGGTTGTTATATATATATATATATATATATATATATATATATATATATATATATATATATATATATATATATAGGGAAGGGTTATTTGGAAAACAAAAAAACCCTAAAAAAAACCCCAAAAATCATAAAAATACATAAAAAATACCTAGAGATCACAAAACTTTTTTTTGACATTTTTTATGAAAAAATCGCAGGTTTTTAAAGAAATTCGCTGAAAAAAAATTTGAAAAAAAAACTTTTTTTTTATAAAAAAAAAGAGTTGATTTTTTATTTTTTTTTCAGCGAATTTTAATAAAAAGCTACGATTTTTTATAAAAAAAATTCAAAAAAAAGTTTTGTGATCTCTAAGTATTTTTTTATGCATTTTTATGATTTTTAGGGTTTTTTTAGGTTTTTTGTTTTCCATAGAACCTAAACATATATATATATATATATATATATATATATATATATATATATATATATACTTTGTTGCACACAACTAAAGTAAATACATATTGGCCTAACCCACTTGACTTTGTCTAGCAATATGTCTAACAAAAAGTTATTATGTTCAATCCAAAATATATACTAACCCGTTGTTCTAAAAAAAATTATAATCACAACTATATGACTATACTATACTGACTATACTAAAAAGTAACTTAACTTTATGAATAATATGCATACATCTTATTTTATTTTTTCTTTTTATAATTTTGGACTAACTTTTGATTTTTATATAAATTTTGGTCCTTTAATTTTCTTTCTATAGTTTTGGCCAAGATTTATAATAGTAACAAGAACTACACATAACCTTTTAATATAAGAAAACCCCTTTTATACCATTCTTTTCCAGCGTATTGATTAAAGCCTCAAAAGTTTTGTGAAGGGACCATTACTTCCTACCACTATTGGTTGTATGGTGTTCCTTTCATAAAGAAAATCACACGTATATATCATACATACGTGTACATATATTATGTACACGCACATACAAATATTAAGATAAGTTCAATTATTATTAGCTTTAGGTATCTTGTGTAATAAATAATGTTTTAACGGCAAAAGTTCCTCTATTGGATCACATGAACCATACGCCACAAAGAAAGTATATAGAAACGTTGAAAATCAATTAGAAACCACATAACACATACCGAAATCAGAAATCTACTACGACATCATAGAGAAATCGGTGACTCGGACTTTGATTGCTTTGAGGAGGAAGACGAATCAGCAGGTGGTGGAAGGCGGTAGCCATCGACGTCAAAGGGAACCCGGATGAACTGAGAAGGAAACGATAAGCGTAATAGAGATGGAGATGGACAAGCAGACGATGGAAATCAGTTTAGGGTTTTTGTTGGGCACCAACGGTCACCACTCATTTCGTCGTCGCGTATGTTGAGAAAACTAATATCTGGCCGGAGAGAGAACAAAGATAGAATGAAGGACAGAGAAAAGAGGAACAGTGGGAGAGATAGAGCATAGAAAGTGATGATGGGTAGTTTGGAAGAGCAGGTGCAGGTCGCGACACGAATAGATTTTTTAGGACGGTGGGTGAACACATATACAGAAAGACTCACAAACAAATGTATTACAAATGAAATTAAAAAAAGAAATAAGGCCAAATTATTTTAAAAAAATAAAAAAATTGGTCTAATAGGAACAAAATATTGTTGAAAACATACTTTTAATCTATATAAAATTATGAATTTGGTTGGTTATTATTTTTTACATTTTAACCCATATTTTTAATGTTTATAATGAATTTGGTTCCTCAAATTTCTTCTTTACATTTGGGGCACTTTTTAATTCTTGTTAACATTTTTGGTTTATTTTTTTTTACAATTTTTTTATAAATTTTTTTTGTAGCTTTTTTCATAAGATTTTTAGTTCAAATTTTTCAACAAAATTTTTAAATTTTTTTATAGCTTTCTTTTTACATATTCTTTAAAACTTTTTTCTAAATACATATTTATTTTCATATTCATATAATTGTAAACATACTAATTTTATTTTAATCAAATGTATATTTGGAGAATAGATTTTATATTTTTGATAGTATTTGACTAAAGTTTAATATATTTTAAGAATATATTTTGTATTTTAATAACCATTTAACTGAAATTTAAAAATATTTTGATTGCAATTTAAAGACAAAAGGAATAATGAAAATGAAAATGTTTTTAATTATCTTTATGAACCTTGTTTGACCAAACAAGTGGCTTATGTTTCTTCACGTAATTCGACGGTGCTAGAACTATTCTTTCTATGCAATCGTTTACATCAAAATTTCCCAACAAATATTTGATTCATCGGATCCATAAAGCATACCTTCAATGGCGTCTTCTTCAACTTCATCCGTTCACAAGAGCTTTAAGTATGAAGTGTTTTTGAGTTTCAGAGGAGAAGACACCCGCAAGAACTTCGTTGATCATCTCTATGATGCTCTTCAGCGAAAGAGCATTCTTACTTACAAGGATGACCTAGAAATCAAGAAAGGGGAAAGGATCAGTGATGAGCTACTTGGATCCATTGAAAACTCAAAATTCTACATCATTGTTTTCTCCAAGGATTATGCATCTTCCTCTTGGTGCTTGGATGAGCTTGTAAAGATAATGGAGTGTAGCAAGATGACAGAGCATACAGCTTACCCAATCTTCTATGACGTGGAACCCACCGAAATCCGCAAGCAAATCGGGGTAGTTGGAAAAGCCTTTGCCAAACATGTGAAGGAAGAGGCTGCCGGAAAATGGAGAAATGCACTGAAAGAAGCAGCGGATCTGGCTGGTTGGGAGTTGAAGAAAACTGCAGATGGGTAATTCCTTCCTTCATCATATATCAGAGCAGATGTGCAATATTCTTTCATTTTGACCCGACATAACACACTTTTTGGCGGATCGATTTTCTCCAATATTTGTTCTAACAAATCATCATCGACTTTTAATCTGGGGTACTCCTATTCACTACTAAATAATTCCAGATCATTTCCATACCAGATCGTTTCTAATTTCAATATTTTCGTAATTTGACAAAACAGGTCCTTGAGGTTTCTATTTTGTTAGAATATAGCCCCAATAAAAAAAATTATTTCAGCTTATCTATTAGTTTAATTTCCCTATGCATGGTTATTACAACACATTCATCATATCTCTGCAATATTCTTTCATGTTTGTATTTGTACTGATCTACGTTTACTCTAGGATGCAATATTCTTTCATTTTTGTATTTGTACTGATCTATGTTTACTCTAGGATGCAAAAGGGTGTCCATGAGGAGTCATGTTGTATTGTCAAATTCAACACAAACTTGAGTCTTTTCCAAAGATTAAACATGGATTATCATTATATGAGTGTTATTATTTTATATACTTAGTATGTTATAGAACTGAAAGTAACTGTTCATGTGGGATTTTGAGCAGTCTGATTGAATCTACTCTATTATGTAGGCATGAATCCAAGTTTATCCAAAAAGTCGTTGAAGAGATTTCATTAGAGTTTCGTTCCATAAATTTCAGCATTGATGAAAAGTTAGTAGGCATAGAGACTCGGGTAAACGATGTTATATCATTTTTGGAAACTGGTATTGATGATGTTCGCATGATCGGGATCAAGGGGATGGGTGGTGGAGGGAAGACAACTTTGGCCAGAGCTGTTTTTGACCAAATATCCTTTCAATTTGAAGGTAAAAGCTTCGTTGAGAATGTTAGGGAAGTTTCAAACGATTCTTTGTCCGGTTTGAAGTCTTTGCAAAATCAACTTCTTTCAGATGTTTTAAATGATAAAGGTATAAGTGTAAGTAGTGTTTATGATGGAAAAAACATGTTGAAGAGGAGGATGTCTGGTAGAAAGGTTCTTCTTGTTCTAGATGATGTGGATCATACAGACCAACTTGAGGCGTTAGCTGGTGAGCCTAATTGGTTTAAGTCGGGAAGTAGAATTATCATTACAACAAGATATGAGCAAGTGTTGGTAGCACACAAAGTGAAATTGATTCATGATGTTAATTTGTTATCGGGTAAAGAAGCAATGTGCCTCTTCAGTAGGTATGCATTTGGTAGAGAGATTCCAATTCAAGGGTATGAAAAGCTATCAGGAGAAGTTGTACGCTATGCTTCTGGTCTTCCTTTAACAATCAAAGTTTTGGGTTCATTTCTTTGTGGTAAAGATGAGAGTGAATGGATAGATGCCTTAGAAAGACTAAAAACAATTCCATTGCATGAAACTCTGAAAAGATTGGAATTAAGCTATATTAGTCTAGAGGAGGATTATAAGGAAATATTCCTAAATGTTGCATGCTTACTGAAAGGTTGGGCGAAAGCCGATGCAATTGAAGCACTTGAAAGCTGTGGATTGCATGCTAGAAATGGTCTAAGAGTTCTTGAGCAAAAATCTCTCATAACTATTAATGGTTATGAGCGTGTGGACATGCATGACCATATTGAAGAAATGGGTAGAGATATTGTTCGTCGTTCGCTACCTGCTAACAAACATAGCAGATTGTGGAAGGAAGATGAAATTGAAGATATACTAATTAATGATTTGGTAAGGATTTAGTTTTATCTGTAAGTTGGAGAAAACTAATACATTTTCATTTCGTACTACACAAGTTTTATGGTGACTATTGTTTTATTACAGGGTACCGAAGCAACAATATGTATGAAAATCTGCAAGTCAAAACTCAATCCAGAAATTGTTATGAAAGGTCTTAGAAAGATGAAGGATCTTACATTTCTTGAGGTGTCTCTGGAAGATTTTAACTCAAATCAGGAAACTAATAAACTCATCCCAAACCTTGTAAATGCTTTAGGATTTCTGTGTTGCATTTGGAAATTTAATAAAGTCAACCTGTTCTTTCCAGATACTTTACGATATCTCCATTGGGACCATTATCCTTTTAGGACTTTACCCCAAACATTTCAAGCAAATAATGTTGTTGCACTTAAGATAGCTGGCAGTGAAATCTTGCAACTTTGGGAATGGGGAGAAAGAAAGGTAGACTTATTGTTAATTGATTATTTTGCATGATCCAATATCATGCTATACATCGATTTTTTTATTACTATACAAATATTAATCTTTTATTTTTTTTTCTTTTGTTAGGTTTGTAACAAGCTCAGGTTCCTTGACCTCAGTAATTCACAGTTGAAGACCCTTGACCTTGGGTTAACACCAAATCTCGAGACGTTGACTCTTGAAAGATGTTGTGCTTTGATAGAACTTCCAGATAGCATTTGTATGTTGAAACATCTGAAACATCTCAAACTTGATGGTTGTTCGTTGCTTGAGAAGTTACCTGAGGATCTTGGCCTGTTAGAAAGCTTAGTGAAGCTAAGTTTGTCATATACAGAGATTAAACATCTTCCAGATAGCATTTGTATGTTGAAACATCTGAAATTTCTCAAACTTGATAGATGTTTGTTGCTTAAGAAGTTACCTGAGCATCTTGGTCAATTAGAAAGTCTAGAGAAGCTAAATTTGTCATATACAGAGACTACACATCTTCCAGATAGTATTTGTAAGTTAAAAAATCTGAAATATCTTGATCTTAATGAATGTTTGCTGCTTGAGAAGTTACCTGAGGATCTTGGCCTGTTAGAAAGTTTACAGTATCTAGAATTGTCGGGTACAATGATTAAACATCTTCCATGTAGCATTTGTACATTGAAACATCTAAAATATATTGGGCTTCATAGATGTTCATTGTTTGAGAAGTTACCAGAGGATCTTGGCGGACTAGAATGTTTAGAGAGGATTATTTTGAGATCTACAAAGATTAAACATCTTCCAGATAGCATTTGCATGTTGAAACATCTGGAACTTCTCCCACTTAATGATTGTTTGTTGCTTGAAAAGTTACCAGAGGATCTTGGCAGATTAGAATGTTTAGAGATGTTAAATTTATCATCTACAAAGATTAAGCATCTTCCGGATAGCATTTGTATGTTGAAACATCTGAAACATCTTGTTCTTTATCCTTGTCTGTTGCTTGAGAAGTTACCTGAGGATCTTGGCCGGTTAGGATGTTTAGAATATCTAAATTTGTCATCTACAAAGGTTAAACTTCTTCCAGATAGCATTTGTATGTTGAAAGGTCTGAAATATCTCAAACTTGATAAATGTTTGTTGCTTGAGAAGTTACCTGAGGATCTGGGCCTGATAGAATGTTTAGAGAGTCTAGATTTGTCAAATACAATGATTAAAAATCTTCCGGATAGCATTTGTATGTTGAAACATATGAAAACTCTGGATCTTTATTGTTGTTCATTTCTTGATAAGTTACCAGAGGATCTTGGTCGGTTAGAATGTTTAGAATATCTAAATTTGTCATCTACAAAGATCAAACATCTTCCAGGTAGCATTTGCATGTTGAAAGGTCTGAAATATCTCAAACTTGATAAATGTTCGTTGTTTGAGAAGTTACCTGAGGATCTTGGCAGGTTGGAATGTATACAGAATCTAGATTTGTCAAATACAATGCTTAAACATCTTCCTGATAGCATTTGTACGTTGAAACATCTGGAATGTCTCAAACTTGTTGATTGTTCGTTGGTTAAGAAGTTACCCGAGGATCTTGGACTTTTAGAATGTCTAGAAGAGTTACATGTAGAAGGTACATGCATAAGTCAGCTTCCGCAAAGCATTATTTTGTTGAAAGGTCTGTGTATTTATGGGTCGAGAGGACTTCTTCAGTCGTTTGGTTTTACATCCGAGATAAAAATGTTAGGAGACGGAACCTTGTCCTATGTAAAGGTGTGAATAACGCAGGCACCCACAAAAGCCAGTTCACAAAGATCTACTGTAGCAGGTATGTACTTTCTATGTTTTTTTTATAAGGTCATCTTAATTTCATTTGAATAAATAATTGGTATTCAGTTAAAATTTTAATAAATACACACAATTTGTCAAATACAAGGATTAACCATCATACTCTTTTATTTCATTCACACATTATTTGTCAAATACAAGAATTAACCATCATACTTTTTTCTTTCATTTGCGAAACAAATCATCTTTTTTTTTTTTTTTTTTTTTTTGGAAAAAACTAGGAAAAACACTATGGTGGGACAAGGCTAAGAATCCCAGGGTTTGAGAGAAAGTGATGGAGGAGAACACAGTAAGATTCCTGATTTTTGGCTGACTGCTTCAGGAGATCAACAGAGTTTTCCTTATTCAAATCAACGGTACTTGTTCGAGTAGTTCCTTAGGGTGCGTTTAGTTGTGGAAAAATGGACCGTTTTCCGGAAAATTTTTCCAAGAAAAATGAGAATTTTGAAAACGCGTTTAGTTCGTCTGTTTTTCTAAATTTTTCACGGAAAATGAAAATTTTCCGTTTTCTAAAATTACAAAGAAGTTGGAAATTTTTGGAAAACCAATAATCATTGTTTTCCACATTTTTCTAATTCCAAAATTTTTCTAAAATATAAACACTCACTCCCACCCCATCCACCTCTACCTACCCTCACCTTAACACCCCCAACCCACCACACCCCTATCTACCTACACTCACTCCCAAGCCCACCCACACCCCCACAAACACACACACACACACACACACCAACCCCCACAAACACACATACACACAAACACACACACCAACCCCCACGAACACACACATACACACACACCCACCCCCACCCACACCCTCATAAACACACACACACACACACACCCACACCCACAGACTCGCACCTGCACCCACACCCACACCCACTCCACCCCCACAAACACACACACACACACACACACACACCCAACACCACTACCACAATCACCGACCTACCATCACCATCACCATCACCACCACCATTACCCCATCACAACACGACCGTCACCATCACCACCACTGCCACAGTTGCCGCCACCACCACCACCACCGCCACCCCGCTACCACCGCCACTGCCACCACTACAACCACCGTCGTCATCATCGACACCACCACTGCCCCCCGCCGCTGCCCCCACCACCGTCACCGCCACCGCCACCGTCCCCATGCCCACCCTACCACCGTTGCCGTTTTCTAAAAATGAAAACCGATAGAAAAATACACATCTAAACATGTTTTCTAATTTTTAAAAACTGAAAATGAAAAACGAATAAGTTTTAACTAAACGCGTTTTTTAAATTTTCCAATGAAAACTGAAAACGGAAAACGAAAACTGAAATGAGAAAACAAAAAACGGAAAATGAAAACTGTTTTTCCATAACTAAACGCAGCCTAAGGGCGCGTTTAGTTGCGGAAAAATGGGCCGTTTTCCGGAAAAATTTTCCAAGAAAAATGAGAATTTTGAAAACGCGTTTAGTTCGTCTATTTTTCTAAATTTTTCACGGAAAATGAAAATTTTCAGTTTTCTAAAATTACAAAGAAGTTGGAAATTTTTGGAAAACCAATAATCATTGTTTTCCACATTTTTCTAATTCCAAAATTTTTCTAAAATATAAACACCCACTCCCACCTCATCCACCTCTACCTACCCTCACCTTAACACCCCCAACCCACCACACCCCTACCTATCTACACTCACTCCCAAGCCCACCCCAGCCCCACAAACACACACACACACACACACCACAAACACACACACACCAACCCCCACAAACACACACAAACTCCCACCCACACCCCCACAAACATACACACCCACAAACACACACACACCAACCCCCACAAACACACACCCACCCAAACACACACCAACCCCCACAAACACCCACAAATTCACACCTACCATCACCATCACTACCACCACTACCCCATCACCAGCACCACCACCGCCGCCATCACCACCACTGCCACAATTGCCGCTGCCACCACCACCGCTTGTCATCACCACCACCGCCGCCACCCCGCTGCCACCACTGCCCCCCGCCGCTGCCCCCACCACCGCCACCGTCCCCACGCCTACCCTACCACCGCTACCGTTTTCTAAAAATAAAAACCAATAGAAAAATACACATTTAAACACGTTTTCTAATTTTCTAAAACTGAAAATGAAAAATGAATAAATTTTAACTAAACGCGTTTTGTAAATTTTCCAATGAAAACCGAAAACGGAAAATGAAAACTGTTTTTCCGTAACTAAACGCAACCTTAGGTTCCTATATATAGTGAAGAAGACCTTCATGTATTGGTTTTGTTTTTTCTTTTATTTCATCTTAGCAATCGTACTTTTTTTTCATAGCCCTTTATGTAAGAATAATAACTAATTTCCTTCAATAGGCCACCACCAAATTTTCGTAAGGTTGATCCGTATTAGTTTTTTCAGCTACTTGTACGTAACATGCTAATTAGATTATGTGCATTGGCAGACTTAACTCAATAACTGAACGTAAGATGTTGAATGCCACTAATTAGATATGTGTATTGGCAGAACTTGTTGGCCATTTTAGCATCATATAGCATTTCAAGGCAGTTTGAATTTATACAGAGTATCAAATTGATACAAATGGGGATGCACAAATGATAAGGAAGGACAAACATAGATTGTTGCACGTGTACTCAAGGAAGGACAAAGGGGCAGAAAAGGAAAACACAAGGGTAGAAAGGGAAAGTGGCTAAATGTCTGTTTAAGGGGAGAGAAGCTAATAAATAGAGGGAATAATTCTGTTAGAAGGATAAGTAATTTCTTTGCATTGTAATTGGCTCCTCAGATTTTGTTTTCAGTGAGAGAGAAGGGTGATTTCCCTGGTAGTCTTATGATTGATTGTGGAACCTTCATCTTTTGATTTTATCAATACATCAGATCATTTCATTCATCTTCATTCATTGCATTCTATTTTATTACAATTTTCTATATCAGCTATTTACAAGTTGTTCTAGAATTGCATCACTGGTCCGACCTGCCTAAGACCTGCCCTTCTTTTCCTCCTTGTTATCCATGGAAACCAGAGGTCAAGGGAATTGTATGGATTTGCATGACGAACAGATCAAACAACTCCAAGGGGATGTCGCAGAGATCAAGAAGGTTTTGGAGACTGATCGAGCAGAGGCTAGTGAGTTTTGGAAGCTTGTTTGGATGAAGACAAATGAGAAAAGCACCCAGGTGAATCTTCTGGGAGTTCTGGATCTGGTGGTTCCGTCTTTGAACCCCAATCGCCTCCATTCTCGGGAGGAAAACCACAGGAAGAGATTCACCAACCTCTTACGATTCATTCCGGTTCATCTATGGGCAGTGAAGAAGGTGAAGCTTCCAGAGTTCACAGGGCTTGATCCTCAGGGATGGATCCAAAAAGCTAAGCTCTATTTCGACATCAATGAAATCCTTGAGAATCTCCGGCTTCTTTGACGCAACTGAGCATGACGGGGTTGCACAACATTGGTTCACTGTGCTCAAACAAGTTCATGAATCGATTTCCTGGGACGAATTCCAAGAACTGCTGCAACGTTTTAGTGGACTCAAAATACAGAATCAACTTGCAACAATTACCCAAGGGGACTCAATCCACAATTACATAGATGACTATGAATATTTGCTATCTCTTGTGCCTAAATTATCGGAGCAAGAAGCATTGGGGTACTTTGTGGCTGGGTTGCACGATGAGGTTAAACGGTGGGTGCACCTTCATCGCCCTCAATCGCGACTGGATGTGATGTATTTGGCGAAGGAGGTGGAAGAACTGCTCCAAACACCTCAGGTAACATACCTCAATCACGCTTCCGCTATCAACATCGATATGGACCGGGTTCGGATTTTCAGATGGATCGTCCTATTGGGTTGGGCCGTTTAGAAAATAAACTAACCTGAAGCCCAAAACCAAGTGAGAAAACCTTGGGCCGACAAGACGTTAATCAGTTCAATCCTGTGAATTTGTTTCACAAATACGACAACAGCAGGACGGCCTAGTAATCGCGACCGAGGGTTTCGATCTCTGTCTCGAATGGAATGGGAAGAATTTCGGAAGAAAGGGTTGTGTTTCCGTTTTGGGCAACAATTTGGTCCACGCCACAAATGTCCGGAGGGAAATCTACGTGTGGAGCAACACACAATTTCGTTTCCCGCCAATTGGTTCTGGCATTGTGTTTGTCATCTTCAGCTTTTTCAGGTTTCAAGATTAAATTAGGTGATGGCCATTTGGTTTGGGTAACAGAGCAGTCCCTTAATTTGCAAATTAGGGTCCGCAATTGCGATTTTATGATGGAAGCCCTAGTTTTTGATACATAAATATGGATCTAATTTAGGATATGGCATGGTTGCGATTTTATGATGGAAGGCCTTGATAGTGTATACCAATCAGAAAAGTCTCAATTTTTTGTTACAGCAGGCATCACCACTTCGGACCAACAAACCTGGGTTGCCAAACTGTTGGGCTACAATTTTGAAATACAATACAAACCGGGAAGAGAAAACAGAGCAGCGGATGCTTTATCTCGAAGGGCAGACAATGGGGACTTCACTCAATTCATTTCTAAACCCATTTGGGTGCAAGGAGGACAGCTGGTTGTTGGCAGAAGGCAAAGAAGACGATGAAATATAGAAAATTACCCTTCAATGTCAAGCAACTCCTCAGAAATCCCGAGATTGTATGTTCTCCATGGAATCCAATATTATAAGGATAGGGTGGTAATTGCTCGCCACTCGTAGTTTATTCATTTAATATATTTATTACAGAAATTTCATCAGGCTGCTTCAGGGTTTCAGGGGGTCATTCAGGATACTATCGAACATAGCATTGATTAGCTGCCAACCTGTATTGCCTCGGTATGATTGATAATGTTAAAAATTTTGTGCGGGCAAATGATGTGTGTCAGCGATGTTAGGCTAGTTCCTCAGTACCCGGAGGCCTTTTACGCCCCTTAGATATTCCTGAAGCAATATGGGAACATGTTTGCATGGACTTTATCGCCGGCTTTCCCAAATCAAAAGGGGATAGATTATCAAAGTCCAGTCACTTCATCCTATTAAAATATCCATACACAGCAAGATCAGTGGCTGGCTGATATATTCGTAAAAGAAGTGATCTGTTACCATGTTATTCCCAAATCAATCGTTAGTGATGGAGATCCGTTATTTATTAGTAAATTTTGGCAAGAAATATTTAAATCACAAGGCACCAAATTACATTTAAGCTCCGCATATCACCTTGAGTTGGATGGGCAAACCGAGGTAATAAATAAATGTTTGGAAACATATCTATGATGTTTCGCATTGGATCAACCAAGGTTGTGGGCTATTTAGATTTCATGGGCCAAGTTTTGGTATAACTGGCTTTTCATGGATCAACGGGACTTTCTAATATTAACTGTATAACAACCTCAAATACGATTAACTTAATGCTTTAAGAAAAATAACAATGGGGCTCTGAAGGTTTCGAGATTAAGAGAGATCTCCACAAGAAAAACAAAATTTAATTCATGCATAAAAAATACCTAGCCGACCCTAAACCCCTTATTTAAATAAAAAGTTAACGTGGAAACTCCTAAACCCCAAGAAACTAGAAAAGATAAAACCTAGATTACTTATTTAAATAAAATACAAATCACCCCTTGGTCTTATGCGTTCGGTACACCTTGCCCTATCTCCCTTGATTCGTATCAATATCCTGCCCCTGAAAATTCACCTTGTCCCCAAGGTGGAAATCGGGAAATTAAGTGTGTATCACGACCGCTTCCTCCCAAGTCGCCTTCGATTTTGGCAGATCCTTCGATTTGATCAATACTTCTGTTAAGCCATGGTTTTTTCTTGAGTTCAAAACCTGATTTGGAACAACCCGTACTTCCATTGTATCGTCAACCCATCCGGTAAACCGGATAAAACCTCCTGGTCACCTATGACTTTCTTGAGCTGTGAAACATGAAAAACCGGGTGAATGGTCGCAGAAGTCGGTAATTCTAACCGATAAGCCAACATCCCCACCCGTTCCAAAACTCTAAACGGACCATAAAATCTGGTTGCTAGCTTGGTATTACGCCTCCATATCACCGTGTTTTGACGATACAGTCGCAACTTCAAATAAACCATATCACCGACATGATATTTCACATCTCGCCTTCTCCCATCAGCATGTGCTTTCATCACTTGTTGCGCCCATCCCAATTGTTCTTTAAGCTCTTCCAACACCTTATCTCTCTCCCAAAGATAGTCATCTACATGAAAAGTAACAGCCGTATCGTGATCATAACCGACCATCCACGACCGTACACAATTTTAAATGGACTCTCTTTAGCTGATGAGTGATATGATATATTATACCAGTATTTCTGCCCAAGGGAACCAATTCATTCACTGTTTGAGTCTTCCTGATGCGAAACATCGTAAATAGGTTTCTAAACTCCGGTTCACCACTTTCGTCTGTCCGTCGGTTTGCGGGTGATAAGCAGTACTATACTTCAACGTGGTGCCTTGAAGCCGAAATAACTCCTTCCAGAAGCGGATCAAAAAAACTTTATCTTTGTCCAACATCACTGGTTGGGGAACACCATGTAATCGTATAACCTCTCGAATACAAACATTAGCTACCGTTGTTGCAAGAAATGAATGTTTTAAAGGCATAAAATGAGTATCCTCATGTCCCCCGATCACCCCAGCATGACTTTCTTGGAACAAACGGTCAATCCAAGGAGACTGTAGAGGTAATACCACCACCATAATCATGCTATAACCCTCCGACTTTGGTAAACCTTCAACAAAATCCAAACTTAAATCTTCCAGATTCGCTTAGGCAGCTCCAGCGGTTGTAATAAGCCTGCCGGAGCCAAGTTTGAATACTTATTTTGCTGACACACTACACATTTGGTGAGCCGTACCGCTATATCTCGACGCATACCAACCCAATAAAACTCCCTTGCTAGCCAACGATAGGTTTTCTGGGTATCCTCATGTCCCCCGATCACCCCAGCATGACTTTCTTGGAACAAACGGTCAATCCAAGGAGACTGTAGAGGTAATACCAAGCGTCCTTGGTAAAACACCAACCCTTGTTTTGTTTCATAACCCTCCATTGTTGCATCTCCACCCTCTATCTTTCGAATCATGGCTATCACTTCTAAGCTCTGTTTTAATTCGTATAATAACTCCTCCTGGTTGTTGAGTCGAGTGATCGTGAGCTCTCTCAATCTAACTCCCTCTCATCTTCTGGGCAAGGCATCGGTTGCTCCATTCTCCTTCCCATGCCTATATAAAATTTCAAAATCATAACCAGATAACTTAAAAATCCACTTCTGATGTTCACCAGATACCACCCTCTGTTCCAGCAAGTATTTTAAAGCTCGCTGATCTGTAATCACTATAACGCGGCGACCCAATAAGTAAGGTTGCCATTTTTGGACTGCCAACACGATCTTCATGAGTTCTCTTTCATAAATCGACTTCTGTTGTGCACATACGCCTTACATCTGACTAAAATATGTCTTAGGATGCCCTCCTTGCATCAGTACAACCCCTAAACCATGCCCTGAAGTGTCTGTTTCGATTACGAACTCCTTCGTGAAATCAGGAAGTGCCAAAACAGGAACCCGTGTCATCTTGTCTTGCAAATTCCGGAATGCTTGTGCCGCCTCCTCGTTCCAGTGAAACTGGTTTTTTTAAGTAGATCCGTTAAAGCCATTGCAATTTTTTCGTATCCCTGCACAAATTTACGATAATAACATGTTAAACTGAGGAATCCTTGTAACTCGCGAACGGTTTTAGGCACCGGTCATGTAGTCATGGCTGAGATTTTAGTCGGATCAGCCATGACACCCTCTTTTTCCACGATGTGACCCAAATACTCCACCAGATCTTGGCCGAAAATACATTTTTCTATTGCAGAATAGAGCCTTAACTCTTAGACAACCAAAGTAAGATGCTCCCGATGCTCGTCCATTGATCGGCTGTAGATTAGAATGCTGTAAAAGAAAACTAACATGAACTTACGCAAGTAAGGACGAAAAACTTTGTTCATAAGAGCTTGGAAGGTCGAAGGAGCATTAGTCAACCCAAAAGTGAAACGTCCCAAAAATATAGTACAAAAGTTTTATTTTTGATTTAAGTAAAACAATATTCCGATTATCATCCATACATCCCAAATAAAACAAATGTATCAAATATCACAAAATCAGAGTGAAATATCAAGTGTGGAATCCATTTGGTGTGTGCGATGCAGTTATCTCGAGCTTTTCCCCTTGGAACCGGAAGTACCTGAAACATTAACTAAAAACCGTAAGCATAAAGCTTAGTGGGTTCCCCAAACTACCCCTTACCATACATAATCAAACACATACTGGGCCCCGCTCGGCATCGAGCCCCGCTCGGTATACATATATGTTATTCTTAGGCCCCGCCTAACATCGGGCCTCGCCCGCTATACACATATAATAAGAATCACATAACTATGCTAACACATACAATGATCATAAATAATAGCATATGAATCAATCATCGGGATTTGCCGCCCCGCCCGATATACATGGCAGCACATATCACATGCAAGGGTCACACAGAATCCTAGCATCCTAACATACGTACAAGGGCCGACATTGGTACCTTAGACCCGCTAAACCCAGTGAAGAAACTCATCTCGAATGCTGGATCTCACTGAAGGTCTCTGGCTGTTGTCTTGACGACTCCCCCAGCTGTTAGTACACAATAACACCCAATTAACACTTGAGTTCCATTCTGTATCTAATAATCCTTACTGGGGTAAAATGACCATTTTACCCCTGGCCTAGCTTGAACCAAAACTAAGGCCCAAATCCACGATCTAAAAGGCCCAATACTAAATAATCCCTCAAGGCCCACTTATGGCTCAATTTTCCAAATTGGGCCCAAAATATATGGGCCTTACCCTAAAACCCAATTAATTTCCTTAGCCCAAATCTTGATTTTAGATGGCCCATTAAGGCCCAAAGCAACAAATTCCAATAAAGTAACCCATCTGAGGACCAAAAGACGTGAAGCCCAATCACTGAGTACGGGGGGCGTACTCAGTTATACGCTAAGCATACACGCTGCATGGCTTGTACGCTGCGCGTACAGGCTTGTATGCCCAGCGTACTCACCCGTTAAGCCATTTTTTCATTAATCTCTTAAATGCTTAAGTCCAAAGTTCCAAACCCCATATCTGAGTCATATTCAACGTCTAAAACTAGGGGTGTTCGTTTGGATGGATCGGTTCGATCCGATCCAATTAAGTAAATCCAAATTGATTTCGGTTTTCAAAATATGGATTCGAATTGTCCAAACTAAATTCAAATCCGATCCATCCAATCCAATTAAAATTTGGTTATTGGATTGGATCGGTTTTTATAATTCGGTTTTCAAAAGGCATAACATTTTAAAACAACATATAGTTATAATATTATCTAATTTTTACAGAAGAAACAAAAAAAAATTATTTAGTTGTAATTTAAAATTTATAAACAACTAGTAAGAAGGTATATTATAATTTAATATTTAATAGATAAAATACTTTTGAGAGAAAATGAACTTTTTTGAAAAAATAAATTATAAAATTAATAAATAATTATAGATATATTAAAAATAAATAAATAATAAATTGTTATTCGGTTTTTTGGACTATTCGGTTATTGTTTTATAAACTAAAACCAATCCAAAATCCAAAATAGTAATTCGGTTTTTGGTGAAATCCAATCCAAAAATCTGAATATCCGAACCAAATAGTCCAATTGGACAATTTAGTTTTATCAAAATAGTGAACAACCTTATCTAGAACCATAAAGTCCCTGACTTGGTGACTTTACATGCCCCAAAAGGTCCTAACTTCGATTTATGAAATTCTACTTTCATAAAAATGGCCATAACTCATGCATGGATGGATCTAGGTTTCAAAAATGACAACTTTATGAATCTAGGAGCAAAAGAATACCAAAAAGAGTGGCAACTCTAAGCTTCAGAAATGATATAAAACCACATGATCTCATCTATGGGACCAAAAGGGTCCAAAACTCAAACCAAAAGAGATATAAACTTCTAAAGAACAAGGTTAAATCTTTATACCTCAAACAAGCCAGAAATAAAGCAGATAATCCAGATCTACAAGCTCCCACTCTTCCAATGAAGCTTCAAGATGATCTTCTTCTTTCAAAACACCAAAAATATACCCAAAAGACCTTCTAAGCTCAAGAACACTCAACTATGGAGTTAGGGTTTCAAGTATAGGGCTAGGAGGACAAGGAAGCTGAGTAAAATGAGGGTTTCATGTCCATAAGGATGATTATATAGTGGCCAACCACGAAAATTAGGGTTTTCAAAAGACAGTATGTACGCCTCGTGTACACTTCTTTACACCCAACGTATACCTCTGGATCCCCGATCAAGTCTTTGCATGTGTACGCTAAGCGTACTACTTGGTACGCCCCGCGTACTCGCTTTACAGCTTGTACGCTAAGCGTATCTTGTGGTACGCCCTGCGTACAACTCAAGGACTAATTTGGATAATTTTAAATAATACAAGGGCATAAGAGAAACTTACCAAGATTCAAGTGTTACAAAAAGGCATCACAAGGAACTCATTATGTCCCTCGTGAGTTCGAAAAGATATTTTCGGGATGTCATCCGGCTTCATACGGATCTGATTATAACCGGATTTTAAATCAAGCTTGCTAAAGATGACAACGCCATGCAATTCATCGATAACTAGGATAGGGAACTTATGTAACATCGTTGCTTTATTTACTGCATAATAATCAACGCATAAACGCTAACTGCCATCTTTCTTCTTTACCAACAACATCGGGCTCGAAAACGGATTGGAGCTCGCACCAATCACGCCGGATGAAATCATTTCATCAATTAGCCTCTCTAATTCGTCTTTTTGTAGTTGGGGGTACCGGTATGGTCGCACATTGACCGGTTCGGTCCCATTTTTCAAACTAATTGCATGTCCATGCCCCCATGATGGTGGTGAACCCGTTGGTAGCATAAATATGTCATTGAAATCAACCAACAAGCTATCCAAGGCAGGATGGACTTGTGAGGTAGGTCCTTCCAAAACAATCAAGTTATTAAACTCGACTAGAAAACCCTCGCTAACCCCGTGTAAGTCACGAACCAACGGCTGTAAAGAGGATTCAACCCTATTTAATCCTGGTTCTCCTTTGAGTGTTACCTTCTTTCCACCTGCAGCAAAAGACATGGTTAATTCCTTTTGGTTAACGCGGGCATCGCCCAAGGTACGTAGCCATTGAATTCCTAGAATTAGATCGGTACTGCCGAGCCTGAGAGGGTAAAAGTTACTTGTCAACTGGTATCCCGGTAGAGTTAACATTACTCGCTTACATATACCAAAATTCTTGTCAAAGTGCCCATTTCCCAACATCACCCCTTGTCTCATGTCCCCCTTTTTAATGGTAAGACCAAGAGTAGGTACCAACGACAACGATATAAAGTTATGTGTAACCCCATTGTCAATTAGAACCACCACCTCCTGTCCAATGATGTGCCTGCGTAATTTCATAGTGTGAGGAGTGGTTAACCCCATCACCTAAATAGCAGATACCGACACCATATCTAAATGAGCATGTTCCTCGCTTTCGGGTTCTTCCTTGTCCTCATCTTCATCAACCAACATGACTTGTAATGTTTTACTCGGGCATTTATGACCTGGACCGAACTTGCCGTCACAACGGAAACACAATCTCTTGGCTCTTTTTTTCTATTCAGCCTCGGTCAAGCACTTAAACGGTGTTGGAGCTGGTTTACCAATGTTGTTTTTGGTTTCAGGGATACTGGTTACGTTTAGTGGGCACATATAACTGTTTCAGTATGCTGTTGGTTGACTGGCCACCTTCACTTTATCATATGTTCTGTTTTCATCAATGAGCAGTGCTAGTTTAATAGTCCGACTCGTTCCCACGGGTTGCATCTTTCGCACGATATTTCTTAGTTCGGGTTTGAGACCATTTACAAATGTGGCATCTAATATGTGTTTGAGAATATCACCCAGTTGTGTTGCTGATTCCTCAGATAATCCCACATACTCCCGTGCAGTACCCTCTTGAGTCTTGACTAATTGCTAAGAATTGTTGATAAAGATTACCATATTGGGACGGTTGGAAACGATCCAACAACCGATGTTTCAACTCTTCCCAACTTTGAAATGGAGACTGTTGTTCATTCCACCTATACCATGACAACACGGGACCCTCAATGCATAAAACAGCAGCCCTAAGCTTCTCCGATGATGTGCCCAAACCTTGCATGTCAAATAATTGTTCTGCTTTATAAACCCAACCACAAGCGTCTTCTCCTTCAAATAAAGGCATTTGTAGCTTGCATAGGCGCTAATCTGTGTTGGGAACCCACCCACCCCCTTGACCGTAGCTGTAAATCAGTGGTTGGATCAGGTGATCCAAGGCTGGCCCCGTTTGGTTGTGACATAGTTCGGATGGTTCTTCATACTCCCAAACATTCCCTGTGTACGTTTTGTACCTTATATGATTAGACCCGGTCCCCGACATAAAGGTCTTAGGTATAAGGCCTCCTTGTTCATCATAAATCCTATAGGATAAGTAGTATAAGCGGGTTGCGTTTGTGTATATACCGGTATGTGAACAAGTGGTGGCTGGGAAAGCATACCTGCTTGTTGAAACCAAGATCCCTGTGTGTATGACCTTAGGTGGGATTGAAGAGGTAATCTTAGGGCCTATACCTATATGACCGATCACTGGTGCAACATGTTGTGTGGATAATGGTGGCGGTGGTCATAGTACTGTGGTGGTAGGTGTAGGTGTACGTGAGGGTTGGTTCAATTTTAGCAATAGTGTCAGAAGCTCTGCATGTCGTTGATCCGCCATGGCCTGTCGACTCTCTCATTCTGCTTGCATTTCTGCCATTCTTATTTTTGACTCTTCCCGAATTTCCATTAACTCATGTTCCATCCTCTCAATGTGTTCCTGGCCATCATCGGACATTGCGTCCTTGTTGGTGCTATCCGATCTTGTGGTAGGCTTCGTCATACTAATTCAAGGAATAATACTCCGATGAACAATAACAATGTGAACAGTAGCAACGTGAATAGTGCCCGATGAACAATGTGTCGTGAATAGTGCTTCATAATCATGTCTCTTATATCAATTTGATATGATCTAAATAACAACCTCAAATACGATGAACTTAATGCTTAAGAAAATAACAATAGGGCTCTAAAGGTTTCGAGATTCAGAGAGATCTCCACAAGAAAGACAAAACTTAATTCATGCATAAAAAACACCTAGTCGACCCTAAACCCATTATATAAATAAAAAAGTCAACTTGGAAACTCTTAAACTCCGGGAAACTAAAGAAGATAAAACCTAGATTACTTATTAAAATAAAATACCAATCACCCCTTTGTAACGTCCCAAAAATTTCAACAAATTTAAACTTTTCCAAACGATCCTTTTACTAATAAGATGTTTACAAAAAATGGTGTTCTCAAACATTATTTGAAAATCAAAGTTTCCCAAGATCCAATCTGTTGTAAAACCAAGGATGTGTACGGTCACACATTCACCTTGCCACTCCAATAATCTGAAAAACCTGAAACCATAAACAAAACTGTAAGCACAAAGCTTAGTGAGTTTCCCCCAAAGTACCACCACACCAAAACAAAACATAAACGCAAAAACTCACGCCTGGCCCAATCAACCTCGGGCTGGAATACAAGGCATGTCCACGATAGGTCCAGTCATCCTCGGGATGGAATACCCTCGTATCATAAGCATATTGGCCTAATCAGCCTAGGGCTGGGATACCAATATGTCGGGTCCAATCAACCATCAGGTTGGAATACCCAGGGTTTGTTGGCCTACCGCCTCAAACCTACCACTCCTCCTGAGCATCCGTTCCTACGGCTTACAGCCGGTCCGCACCGGGTATCTTGGCCTACCTCACAAAGCATGACCGTCTCAACCCAACCAAACACAATATGTCGACATATAACAATCATGATCAAGTAGGCACATAATATAGGCAACAACAATCATACAGCTCACTACTGCCTACTAATCCTCTAACCACATACAGTCCCGTTACCAGCTAACCCCCATAGAATGTGTAACCATAAGTAGCCAGAGGTGAGATAGCCACCCGAACAGATAGTCCTACTCTAGAGCCACAACCAAACAAGGAATAGTCAAGAGAGCCTAGACCAAGAGTTCTCAGGCTATCCTACATAACCACCGACAGACCCTAAGGGCACTCCATAGATGATAACTAGAAAGCACAGATAACATACGGTTCTACAAGTCATTACCATAAAGCAACAGACTCCATACCAGGATACAGATCTAATAGATCACTACAACATAACAACATACTAAATATCAACAATCCAAGGAATGCATAACCGTATATACTCAGAGGTGAGATAGTCACCTGGACAGGTGATCCTACTCAACCTCGGCCTGGCCCAATCAACCTCGGGCTGGAATACAAGGCATGTCCACGATAGGTCCAGTCATCCTCGGGATGGAATACCCTCGTATCATAAGCATATTGGCCTAATCAGCCTAGGGCTGGGATACCAATATGTCGGGTCCAATCAACCATCAGGTTGGAATACCCAGGGTTTGTTGGCCTACCGCCTCAAACCTACCACTCCTCCCGAGCATCCGTTCCTACGGCTTACAGCCGGTCCGCACCGGGTATCTTGGCCTACCGCACAAAGCAGGACCGTCTCAACCCAACCAAACACAATATGTCGACATATAACAATCATGATCAAGTAGGTACATAATATAGGCAACAACAATCATACAGCTCACTACTGCCTACTAATCCTCTAACCACATACAGTCCCGTTACCAGCTAACCCCCATAGAATGCGTAACCATAAGTAGCCAGAGGTGAGATAGCCACCCGAACAGATAGTCCTACTCTAGAGCCACAACCAAACAAGGAACAGTCAAGAGAGCCTAGACCAAGAGTTCTCAGGCTATCCTACATAACCACCGACAGACCCTAAGGGCACTCCATAGATGATAACTAGAAAGCACAGATAACATACGGTTCTACAAGTCATTACCATAAAGCAACAGACTCCATACCAGGATACAGATCTAATAGATCACTACAACATAACAACATACTAAATATCAACAATCCAAGGAATGCATAACCGTATATACTCAGAGGTGAGATAGTCACCTGGACAGGTGATCCTACTCTAAAACCACAACCAAACAAGGAACAGGTAAGAGAGCTTAGATCAAGAGTCCTTAGTCTATCCTACATGACTATACACAGTCCCTAGGGCATCCCTCTACTAGCAGATAATCAATACTAGTGGGCCGACATTGGTGCCTTCGACCAACGGTACAGTGAGGCGAAACTCACCTCGATGTGCGTGTAGAAACCACTGTAGCAACGAAGGACTCTACCAGCTTCAACTCACTTCCAATCACCTACAGGAAGATACTTGAGTCAATACTCGATCACAGGTCATAGTCACATTCAACAGTAACCATTTCACATGAAATGACGATTAGGTTTCACATGAAATGACGATTAGGGTTTCACATGAAATGACAATTAGGGTTAAGTATGAACAGTTAACCCATTAAGGACTTAATCACATAAGGGTATGATTGATTAATGTTTGACTTAGTTGTTTTCAGTTGAAATAATAATCCAATCAGCAGCCCAAATACGCGCTCGATTATTGCCCAAAATAAAGCTCCTCGATTCTAGGGTTTTTTTACATAAAATGATACTAAGGTTAGTGTTCCTTACTTAACCCATTAAGGACTTAATCCATTAAGTCCAATATTGCATTGAGTTAATTTTAGGGAATTATTAAGTTATTATTTTAGGTTCAATTAATAGTTTTAACGCGGGTCCCGACCAACTCTAAAATTAGGGTTTCTGAATATTAGGGTTTTCTAAACCCTAATTAGGGTTTCCAACCCCTAAAGTTAAATGATTATCTAATTAAATAAATATCTAATTAATAAATTGGGCACCACCCACTGCTACCTCAGGTAGTGGTGGTCGGCAGCGGTCCATGGCGGCAGGAGGCGGCAGCCACCCGCACACGGCGGCAGTTTGAGTATTAGTTCCAACAATCCAACACACATACAATGTATACATCACATGCACACACACTAGCACCAAAAGAGTAAGAAAAGGCCCAACACAACCACCAAAAATGGTGGTTGGCGGCGGCAGGAGGTGGCAGCCACCACCTCACGATGGTGGTGGTGGGTTCTCTTTTGGTTCTAGGTCAAGCAAACACACCCATACACGTGACACACAGACACTAATAAATGCACACAACCACCCACATATGGTGGCTGATGGTGGCAGAAAAACGAGAATGGCGGTAGACCGGCGGTGGCCACCATGGTTGGCTGCCATGGTGGTCTTTCTACTTGATTTTCCAGCCAACAACTCGCATACTACGGGCAGAAACACAGAAACACATGCACAACGTATCCCCAACTGCCCTCTTCAGGGGGTGGTACGACGACCGGAGCAATGGGAGAAGATCCGTACGAGCGGCGGCAGCGGTATTCGTCGGGTATATCGCTGTTTAACAGAAAAGAAGCGGAGGAGGGTGATTTGTGGTTGCCTTACCGAGAATAGATGCAACCACCCGCAACTTGCGGTCATTCCCAGCCTCCCTCTTCGGTCTAGACAACTTCTCCCGACAGTCCTCGACTTCGCCGTCAATAGAAATAGCAACGATGGACGTTAGCTGAGGTGTAGCGGTCTTCGCCGGCAGCAGAATAATCACGATGCTACTTGGTGGTTCTCCGGATTCGACGTCAGCGATGCAGCAGCGGTGACGCTTGGCTTGGTGGTTTCCGACCTCAACAATGGAGGTGACAGTGGATGGAGGTTGGGGAAACAAGGGTGGCAGCTGAAGGTAACGATGCTAGGGTTAGGGTTTAGTGAAAATATCAGACGTGGGGAAAGGAGGAGTAACGGGTATAAGCCCCCCCCTCCTCTCCAGCTCCAAACTTATGCCCAAAATGACACATCCAATCCCTCCCCCAAGGTTCCTTTCCGATTTAAGTCCAGATTTTTCCCTTTAGCCCCCCACTTCGATAAAGCTATTCAATACAAGTCCATAGGTTACCATTTAACCCTTAACATCAAGAAAATGTAACTTTCAACTCCTATGGCTAACACTGGTCAATTAATACGGACTTAGGGCTAAAATAAAATATAATATAAAATATATCTCGAGACTTTAGGGCTTATTATTTATTTATTTATCTACTTATTTTATTTATCATTATTATTATCTTTGTTTATTTTATTACTTATTTTATTTTATTTT